TTATCCCGGGGAGGAGTTCTGCAGCAGATTCCACCAGTGTTCCGAGACCTGCTTGACGAGCCTGAGCCAAGCAGGGTTTAGGGTTTAGGGTTTAGGGTTTAGGGTTTAGGGTTTAGGGTTTAGGGTTTAGGGTTTAGGGTTTAGGGTTTAGGGTTAGGGTTTAGGGAGCCTCCAGGAAAGGGAGGCCCCCCAGGCCCTATACCCCGGAACCTTCTGTGGCTTATTGGGCGATTTTGGGAGCCCATCGCGAACCCAAAGGGTCCATGTACCTAAATAGGGAATACTTGGGCCTTAAAGTACCTCCTATTTAGGGGTTTTTGGGTCCAAGTATATAATAGTGAGGTGCATGGACCCTTAGGGTAAGAAAAGGGAAGCAGGGCATCACCACTTGAAGGCTCATGGGACTTATACAGTAATCATACTGGAGATTTCGCTACAACATGGGCTTGGGGTCTAGGGTTTAGGGTTAAGGGTCTAGGGGTTTGGGTCAACTGGCCTAATCTAGCTAAAGGTTGAAGCACAATGACCCCAATTTACAACTAGTGATCTATGGACCACCCGAGTGGCAGGAAGGTGGGGGGGGGGGGGGGGGTGGTGAGCGCAAGCACGCTTGCATGCTGACAATTCCGTACAGGTCTTGGGCGGGTGGCGCTAAATCCCGCCCTTTAAGGGTTTCCCAGCTTCGAGGGTTCAGGGCTTAGGGTTTATAATACCTACTCTACTACTAGGAGGTACATGAAGGCACCTCAATCTCCTAATTAGCCCTAACCCCAAAGTAGCCCAAGCCGCTAAGCCGCTACACCCTCCCCCTTTCCCCCCTCCCCAACAGGGAACTTACAGGTATGGTTTAGGGTTTAGGGTTTAGGGCTTAGGGTTTAGGGTTCAGGGTTTAGGGATCGGCGCTATTTTGGGTTGGATTTAACCGTGAAGCAGAGTTGAGGTTGCTGTACGGCTCCAGGGGCCTAAACCCTAAACCCTAAACCCTAAACCCTAAACCCTAACCCCTAACCCCTGAACCCTAAACCCCCCAAGCCTTTGAGTGTACGTGGCTTACGAACCCAGAGCCTCATCCTTCACTTTTTTGTGGGCTTCGGGGCTTTGGAGCTTCTTGACTTCGAGGTGCAGGGTTTAAACCCTGAACCCTGAACCCTAAACCCTAAACAGCCTTCACCTGAACCTTTGGCGAGTCCAAGCGGCTTCAGCGTGATCCTGCTGCTCCGCACTGTGCACTTGCACCTGAACTACTATTTCCTTAAGGACCCCCCCCCAACAAAAAAAAAAAAGTTTAGGGTTTAGGGTTTAGGGTTTAGGGTTTAGGGTTTAGGGTTTAGGGAAAAAAGTAAAAAGTATTATAGGGTTTATAGGGTTTATAGGGTTTATAGGGTTTGTAGGGTTTGTAGGGTTTGTAGGGTTTATAGGGTTTATAGGGTTTATAGGGTTTATAGGGTTTATAGGGTTTATAGGGTTTATAGGGTTTATAGGGTTTATAGGGTTTATAGAGTTTACAGGGTTTATAGGGTTTATAGGGTTTAGGGTTTAGGGGACTACCTATATTTGACCCTTATAAGGAAGAATCTGTTTCTCTAGTTTTTGGGGTTCGTAAGCAATTGGTAGTGAAGCTTGGAAGATGGGGGTCAACAGCATCCCTGACCCCCCCCCCCCCCCCAAAAAAAAAAAAAAAAAAAGTACCCTAAACCCTAAACCCTAAACCCGACAGCAAAAACCCTCAACCCTCAACCCTACACCGTAAACCCTACACCTAAACCCTAAACCCTAAACCCTAAACCCTAAACCCTAAACCCTAAACCCTAAACACAAAACCCTAAACCCTAAACCCTAAACCCTAAACCCTAAACCCTAAACCCTGAACCGTGGCGCTTCTCAGGGTCCACCCGGCGGTGGAAGTCCGCCAGGCGGAGGCCGAAGGGCACCCCTGGGTGGGACCAAGGCTGGGTGTTTAGGGTTTAGGGTTTAGGGTTGAGGGTTGAGGGTTTAGGGTATAGGATTATTCGGGTTTAGGGCTTAGGGTTTAGGATTAATCGGGTCTAGGGTTTAGGGATAGGGTTTAGCTATTTAGGGCTCATGGATTTAGGGTTCTTACAGTCTTCAGATACCCAACTACGGACACCAAGCCCCAAACCCCAAAAAACAGTCAAGGAAGGAATGCTTGACCCCCAAGCCGGTTCAGCGCTCACTTAGGGTACTTATGGCTCCTTCACACCGTTATGGTACTGACACTGCTCTGATTCAGGTCCGTCTTCTCCCCACTGTTCAGACAGATCGCCCACCTCCTCCCCCCCAGGGTTCAGGGTTTAGGGTTTAGGGTCTAGGGTCTAGGGTTTGTTTCGGGTTCCCCCCTGAAGCTAAGGCTAACCAAGGGTGAGGAGAAGGCGAGAGTAATCCTTTGCCTGCAAAGCCTTCATTCGCTGATCCTTCTCTTGCGACTTCCCTGTTAACTTATCCTTCGACCCCTCCCAGGGCCGTGCTCACACCCTACACCTCCTAAGCCCAAATGAGAGCCCTAAACCCCCGACAACGCCCTAATACGGTAAGAAAGCTCTCCAATCCTAAAGCCCCCAGCCTATAAACCCTCTTCCAACTGGGCACCTGCGTCCACGCTGATGAGCAAGCTTGCGCTCCACTCGCCGAACTCCTGGGTGCGTCCGGCGACTTTACATGCTGGGCTCACCCTAAACCCTAAACCCTAAACCCTATGACCATAATCCCTAGGACCCTATAACCCCAAAACCCTAGAACCTTCAACCCGACAACCCGAACAGCCCTTGGCCCTAGGCTCCACCTAAAGCCCTAAAACCCTACGACCCTACAACCCTATGCCCTATATGTGCAGCCTAAGGCTTAGGGTTTAGGATTTAGGATTTAGGGTTTAGGGTTTCGGACCAAAGCGGCCGCTTGAACTTGTGTGTCTTTCACGCCGAGGAGGTCGTCAGATTGGTCAAAGGACACGTACACCTTCACCTTTTGGGATGAAGGGTAGGGGCTTGGGGTTTAGGGTTTAAGCTTTAAGGTTTAGGGTTTAGGGTTTGGGGTTAAGGGTTTGGGGTTTAGGGCTTCGGGTTCAGGGTTTGAGGTTCACTAAAGTTCTGGTTTGGGGGTTCAGGGTTCAGAGGTTCGTGGAGGTTTTCGTGTTTGGGCGTTCGGGCGTGGAAGCCAATTGGAAGTTCTTCATGAACAGGTTCTCTTGGATAGAAGGGAAGTGAACAGCTGTGCCAAAAGTGCAACTCAGATTCTTGGATTCGGGGTATTTAGTTATGATTTTTGAAAACTTTTCGGGTGCGCTTAACGTCTATATAAACCCTAAACCAACCCTAAACCCTAAACCCTGAACCCTAAACCCTGCACCCAAAACCCCAAACCCCAAAGGGATTATACAGGGCCCCGAGCTTTGTGTAATTAATTGGGGGGCTTCGGGTTGCAGACCTTCAAGGTGAACCTGTAAACCCGAACCTGCCTATCTCTGGAATGGCCAAGACGATTCCCAGGGTCTCTACAAGGAGGGGCCCTCCTAGTTGTAAGTAGAGATATAAGGGTCCTAAATTGGGTTATAAGAATCCTAACTTAGGTTATAAGTCCCTCAACTATAGTCAGTATAGTAAGGGGCCCTCCTTGTAAGAAGATTACATGATGTCCACGAGTTCACACACTGCGCCTCCTCGTCCGTCTGCTGCCAAGCATAGCTGAGTTCCTCGCTCTTTGACGGGGAAACTGAAAGCGCCCTAGGGAATGTAAGCCTGCGAAGTTGCCGGGTGGGCTGTTGCTACCCCTTTGCCTGCTAGCTGTATCAACTGGCCAGGGAGTTCCCACTGCGCTTTTCGGGGTCATTAAGCCCTAAGCCCTAACCCTAAACCCCAAAGCCCTCCTGTCGTTCGCACCATCACATCGTGGGCGTACCGCAGCCCCTTACTTTAATGCAGCGTGCCATGCAGATGCTAGCACCCAATGACCCAATGACGTCCGAAAAACCCAACACCGACACCCTAAGGCCCTATAAGCCGAAAACCTTAAAACATCGGACCCTTAACTCCTCATCAAGCCCTCAAAACCCTTAAAGCCCGATTTACACCCTGCACCCTGCACCCGAGACCCTAAACCCTACACCCTAAACCCAAAACCCCAAACCCTAAACCCTGAACCCTAATCCCGCTGAGCCACCCGGACGGCTCGATCCAACTTCTTGGCCTCGTCGTGCGCCTTTCGACCAGCTGAGGCTGCTAACTCTGAGCCTTCACTGCTATTTAGGGTTTAGGGTTTAGGGATGTTCCCCCTTATACTAACAGTCCTTAATAGGGATTCTAGTGCCCCCCCCCCCCTGTTATCATGCCAATTCAGGACTGTTAGTATAAGGGGGAACGTCCCAAGCTGTTTGCCGAAGAACCCTCGTCCCCCAAAAAAAACCAAAGCAAAGGGTTCTTCCTTTTAATGGGAATACAAGGACTGTTATCTTTCATTGAGTTTTTGGGGGGGGTTCTCAAGCAAATAGTAGTTCGGGGTTAGGGTTCAGCTAGGGTTTAGGGTCTAGGGTCCAGGGATAGAGTTTCGAGTCTAGGGTCTAGGGTTGCAGGTTCATTTTGGATTCAGGGTTAGGGTTCAGGGTTGAGGGCTACTGCGCCCACAGTGTCATCTTGCCCAGTGACCATTAAATCATAGTAAGGGCTTCAGGGTTTGGTCTAGGCGCCCTTTTATGAGCGATACAAATGAAACTGGGCCTTGTGTACACAAGGCTTGCGGCCCTGCCCCCTAACCTCTAAGCCACAAAAAGCAGAAGAAAGCCCAAACCCCACATAAGCCTTAAAAAACCCAAACCGCAAAACCTCTAAAACCCCCCAGAAGGCCTAAACCCCAAACAAACCTTAAGAAGCCCAACCCCAAAACAAAGCTTATAAACCCTAAGCAGGATGATTTGGGGGTTTTCCGAAGTTAGGGGGTACCTTATTGGGGTCCTGACATGAAGGGAATCCTACAATTTGGGGGTCTACTTGTTTTCGTAAACCCTAAACCCTAAACCCTAAACCCTAAACCCCCCCATCTCTGTATGTCAGCGGATGGTTGGAGGCTGAGGACCACCTCGCCGAGGTCGCGCGGCTCCGTTCGGCGCTCCGCACGCGCCGGGGTGGGGGCTTCCAGCGGGCTTGCTGCGGCAGGGGGCTCCTGTCTAGGGGGTTTAGGGTTTAGGGTTTAGGGCTTAGGGTTTAGGGCCAAACTTAGAAGCTCTTTGGACTTCGTAAGCCTACTTAGTATCCGCTAGAATCCCTATTGGAGTCCCCTTAACCCGCCTTACGAAGTCAAAAGGGCTTCAGGAAGGGTTGGGAACTGCAGCGGGGCTCCTGTCTAGGGCCTACAGGGGAGTTTGGAAGGTGTGAAGGTGCAGGGGGTTTGGGGTTTGGGATTCTGTGGTTGTTTGGGGTTCAGGGTTGGGCTGCTGCTTTGGGGAAAGTTTTTGGGTTTCAGGGTTTGGGTCTCTGGCTTTGTGCGATTTGGAGTAATTAAGGGGGGGGGGGCCTCCTTGCGAGCGCCGCTGCACAAGGTAAAGTGGCAGCCAAACATGGACACATGTCACGTCGCTCCCCAAGCAGCCGGCCAAACTCGCCTCCACCCACCCCCATCTACAAACATGGACACATGTCACGTCGCTCCCCAAGCAGCCGGCCACCCCCATGTACACATCCCGAACTCCCTGAGCCCGAATAAGCCCTGAGCCGCAACCCCCCCCCCCTCCCCCCATCCATGCTTACCCTAAACCCTAAACCCTAAACCTAAACCCTAAACCCTAAACCCTGAACCCTAAACCCTAAACCCTAAACCCTAAACCCTAAACCCTAAACCCTCCCCCGCCCCATCCTCCTCCTGCTTCGCTGCCGCTGGAAGGTCCGCCTCCCCCTCCGCGGCCTCCGCCACATCTGCCTCCTTGGCCTGCTCCACAGAGGCCTCGAGAAGCATCATACTTACTTCTCCAATAACCAAGGGAACAAAAGCTTTAACTTGATTATATGACCAAGGGAACAAAAGCTTTAACTTTATTATTCCTACTAAATATGGAAACATAAAAACCATAAACAGTTTGAAGTTTAACTATTGGCGAAGTAAGTATAGTAATGGCAAGTATCACCGCCGGACGGGTAGAGAGGCGTTCATTGTGACCGCGTGGGGGTCTATGATCCAGGCTTAGGGCTTTGTGCCGTGCTAAGAAGACTTAGTTGCTGAGTTCATAAGCCACCGAAAAGTGCACACTTTCAGTTCTATATGATTCTAGTATCCCAAAAAGTGTAAAGTGTACTCACTCAGCTACTAAGTAGAGCTCAGCTACTAAGTAGAGGTTCGGGGTTTTGAGAGGGCTGCATGTCGGGACTTTCGGGCCTTGAACTGAGGGTTTCGGGATCACAGGGCTTGAAATGCAGGGTTCAGGATTTGTGACAATAAAGTATTCAACCCGAAGCCCTATAGAGGTATATACAGGTTTGGGGTTTAGGGTTTTAGGCCTAAACTTGAGAGATTTGGCGGTGAGTTTCATGGGAAGGGCTGGGTTGGGGCCCAGGGTGTGTGAGTTGGAGGCGAAGGGTTCGTAACCACCAGCGCGCGAAAGAGTTGCATGGTCACAAACTGGGTCGAGGTCTAGGGCTTACAGGGTAGGATGCCGGGTTCACAAGGCTCAAAATAAGGCCTAAACCCAAAACCCTAAACCCCAAACCCTGAACCCTAAACCCTAAACCCTGAAGCAACTGCTGCGCTGGCCAGTTTCGGCGAGGTGCTGGCTTGCTGAACATGCCAGCATAGCCTGAGAGCATCAAAGCGAGGCGAGCCGATTGCGCCCCCCCAGAGCCAAGCTCAACTGTTTGTAGGGTTTACTACTAGTTGCTGAAGAGCCCCCCACACCGTGCAATATATGTGCTCTTGAGGGCAGTATAGGAATTATGATGTTGTATGATTTGGGGGGGTTCTTCAGCAAATGGTAGCTTAGCGGTGTAGGGGTTTTAGGTTTCCTCCGTCCTCCCAAGTCATTCGGTCGAGCCCGAAGCTGTAAAATATCCGCAATGCTTAGGGTTTAGGGTTTAGGGTTCCGGGTTTATAGGGTTTAGGCTATCTAGGGTGTCCGGACCCGCAACGAAGAGAACCTAAAGTCAAACCCTGCAATCCTATAGCTCTCAACTCCTGAAGTGGTTTAGGCTTCAAAGTTCACAAAGTTTCAAGATTGAAATTTAGAAGCCCTAAGCCCTGGACCCTAACTCCACACCCCTGTACCCCTGAGCTCTCCAGTGAGGTTTCTTGTGGGCTGTGGGAAAAGAAACAATGGCCGGTGATACTGGGCCTACTGAATGAGGGTTTGGGTTTAGGGATTGCAGAGTTGTGCGAATTTGTGCTTTCTCTCTGCATGTCGGGAAACCAGCAGAAAAAGGCATAACGTCAACCAAGCAAAACAAAATCTTGCCGATGTGGAGGTTTAGCTGCTTAGCGTCCGTAGCTGGTTCGGAAATCATTTTCCCTCTTGCCGATCAAGAACCTGTCTTCCCGCAAGCAGCTCCAAACAAGCAGGGTTTAGGGTTCAGGGTTTCGGGTTGAGGGTAACAGAACACCAACACACCTGAAGTCCCCCACGGGCATGAACCAATACGAACTCAAAGAACAAACCCTTACCCTAAACCTGATAAAGCCCCAAACCCACGAATCAACAGGCCATCAAGGACTCCCCTAGGCCCTAAACCCTATCAAGACCCAACCCACGAATCAACAGGCCATGATCTAGGGTGCCAAGTATGGGCCCATAATGTTTTGTCCCTTGTTGTATAACCCTTATATACACTCGATGTAATGAGGATCCATACTTAGGATCCAGATATGCAAGGGTAGGGGACCATTCTACAGGTCCATGGATAACCCTAAACCCTAAACCCTAAACCCACTGCTGCGAACATACTGCCAGGGAGCGCTGACGATCCTCGGCATCGCACTGCTTCATGCTCCGTCGGACCTGCCGCCTGGGTCAGCACGAGGAGTTTAGGGTTTCGGGTTTAGGGTTTAGGGTTTAGGGTTTAGGGGCTCGGGATTAGGGTTTAGAGGGTTTCGGGTTTATGGTGTAGGGCTTAGGCAAGTAAACAGACATATCATAATCCTTATATGGCCCTTAAAAGGAAGAACTTGTTCCATTTTTTTTTTTTTTTGGGGGGGGGGGGGGGGGTTCTGAAGCAAATGGCAGAGTTTGGCTTCGGGGTTTCGGGCTTAGGGTTTATAGGGCTTCTCGGGGTTAAAGGATCTCGGGTCATTAGGGTGTATGGGTTTCATAGTAGTAGGCTTTATAGGCCTTATTAGTATGGGGTTCATGGGAGCGAGCGTTCTCTCGTCCAGGTTGCCCAGTAACCTGGACAAAATGTATAGATCTTTGAGGTGATCCCTGAACTGATTGAAGTTCCTGTTGGCATAACCACCCATAGCCTAAACTCAAAGCCCTACATGTGGCAGTTCGCGAAAGACAGGCCTTTCAGGCCGCAAGTAAACTACAAGAAAAACAAAAGTTCTGGATTGAATGCGGCACCCTAATCATAAGGACCCCTAAAAAAAAACACCCTAATCTACTGTTTCCTTAAAAATCTACTGCTTTAAAAACCCCCCCCCCAAAAAAAAAAAAAAAACGAAAATGAAAAAAACAATCCCAACATTACCCTGAGAAGGAAGATTATGTTCATGTTTCTTGGGGGGGTTCGTAAGCAAGTAGTAGTTATCTACTCTTTGCTTAAGAACCCCCCCAAAAAAAAACAGACATATGACCCTTCTTATACCCTTAAAAGAAAGATTTGTTTTGTTTATTTCCGTTGGGGGGGGGTTCTTAAGCAAGTAGTAGAAATCTATACCCGTGGCCGAGATGCAGCTGTGCCAGGATACCAGCGTCCTCGGGCGCCAGCGCGCGCGCCTTCTCCAGGTCGGCCGACGCATCGCCTCGGAACCCCAAACCCCAAACCCCAAACCCCAAACCCCAAACCCCAAACCCCAAACCCTAAACCCTAAACCCTAAACCCTAACTCGGATACTCGGGGTCTGAGCCCTTTCTGCGGGCCAAAGGTTGAACCTTAGGGTCTAGGGCCCTAAGGGCCATCAGCATGAAGAATATGTCATATGTATGTATATGTATATATATGGGTTTAGGGTTTGGGGTTTAGGGTATATATATGTGTGTGTATATGTATACATATATATATATATATGTATACGTGATGCATATTGCTTGAGCTACACAGCTTTCTCCCGCAGTGTCTGCTTTATAAGCAGGGTTCAGGGCTTAGAGTTAAGGGCTTCGGCGGCATCTGCAAGAGAGTATCAGCCGGAGCGCCCAAGTTTCTGAGCTCCACGTAGGCCTGCGCCCGCCGGAAGTAAGCCTCTTCAGGGTTTAGAGGCCTTTTGGCTTTAGGCTTTCGGAGTTTAGGGTTTTAGGGTTTAGGGTTTTAGGTCTTATAGGGCTTTAGGCCTTAGGCTTTCGGAGTTTAGGGTTTTAGGGTTTAGGGTTTTGGGAAAAGCGCGCAAGCCAGCTTTGCTGCACAACCGTGGCTGCGATCCACTGCCATCGGATCCCAAGCCCTCAACCCTATAGAGACTAAGCCTTAAGCCAATTCAAGCCTTAAGGCTCCTGAAGCCACCACCTTAAAGCACCCTGAAGACCCTAAACCCTAAACCCTAAACCCCAAACCTTAAACCCTAAACCCCTGCGCTTCACCTTCGCGTGGGCGCCAAAGTCCAGCGCCGCAGTGCAGGCTTCCACGCACTTTTGGAAGTCACCAACTTTCAGATAGCAGGCCTTGGTGTCGGGGTTTAGGGTATAGGGTTTAGGGCTAGGGTGTACCGGGCTTCGGGGTTTTGGGGTTTGGGTGGAGCGTGCTGTCGAGTTGATGTTGTTCCCGGCTCAGGGCTGGACGACTGATGTTCTTAGATACTTGCGTTCTGCTACAGATATATGTGCAGATAAACAAAGCACCATGATTCTGGCGCACGGTGGTATGGTTCGTCAAGGACAGTAAACGTGATGAACGACATTCCCTTGCAGCCCGGGGGCGGCCATGTTCAGCCGCGTCGTCTGCTTCCTTGGGAGACTCCCCTAAGAAGTCTTCGAAGCTGCACATGGGGGGTACCTCTTTTGAACTTTTGTTCAGCTATATCCCTTCGAAAAAGGCACTCGAACAACACCCAACCCACCCACCCACACCTGCCCCCACCCCCCGCCCCCAGCCCTGCCCACGTCCACCCCTGGACACGGACACAGAATCACACGCACTCAACACATGAAAACCCTCAAGCTCTAGACCCTAAGCCCTACAAAGCCCAAGCAACAAGGCCCTAAACCCTAAACCCTCAAGAGCCCGTAGCCTCGAAATCCTAAAGTCCCCAAGTGCCATGAAGCAAGCCCCAGAGAACCCTATGCCTTGAAGCCAGAAGCCCAAAGTCCTAAACCTTAATCACCAGCGACCTCATAGAGACCATAGAGATCCCACCCCAAGAAATCCCATAGAAACCCAGAAGCTCTAAACCCTAAACCCTACACCCTACACCCTACACCCTAAACCCTAAACCCTAAGCCCTAAACCCTAAACCCTAAACCCTAAACCCTAAACCCTAAACCCTAAACCCTAAACCACGAAGCCGAAGGCGCAGCTTCTTCAGATCCTCGACGCGGTCGTGGGGAATCTGGTTGCCAGGGCCAGGGTCCTCTCAGAGGATGCGCGAGGTTGTCTGAATTGGAATCTCAAGGAGGGGGGGGGGGAGCGGGAATGGGACCGCGGCGTAGGGGTGCCCAGGTTCTTCTGAGGGTTTCAGGGTTTTTGGGTGGGCTTTTTTCGGAGGACTTTCTATGGTGCTCTTTGGGGTTCCTTAAGGCCTCTTTTGTTCTGGGGCTGAGGAGGCTAGAGGCGGAGCGGCCCAGGGTCGTCGCTGGGAGTTCGTCAGATTTCCGGTCCTGTGGGTCCTCCTTCTGTCCTGCCGGCGGCGGCACCAAGCCGTTGACGAAGCAGAAGACCTTCGGCCAAGGGTCTATGTACCTCTAGAGTGTATACTTGGGCCGCAAAGGGGGGGGTTCCCATAATATAGTTCCCATAATATAGTAGCTTTAGGGCCCAAGTAGATACGACAGTACCGAGATGACGTGGACCCCAAGGGTACGGGTTCAGCCCAAGTGCGAAGCAGAGGGCCGCTGAAAAGCAAGCTTTTGCACCCGAGGTCCGAAACAACTCTGAACCCATGGCGCCCTAAACCCTAAACCCTAAACCCTAAACCCTAAACCCTAAACCCTAAACCCTGAACCCTAAACCCTAAACCCTAAATCCTAAACCCCAAATTCGTTTCGAGCTGCCTTGTGGTATGCTCCCAGGGCGCGCTTGTAGTTGCCTCGTGCGGGGCGAGCATCAGTAGAGAAGGCCGGCCGAGCATGGCTTAAGGGGTATCAAGAAGGGATGCTGAATTTTCGTCCCCTATATAACCCTTATATATATATATATGTACAGTATATATATATATATGTATATACATATAGGTACCTTATACAGTCCCTATATACCTAAATAGCAAAGAAGCCCAACAAAGAACCCCTCAGGTCTCTTCTTAGGCTCCTCCTTGTGTTCCTTGAATGGCACGTCCCCAACCCGCAAGCCCTCACCCCAAGATCCACCTAGACCCCCAAATTAGGGGGCTCTTAAGGGAGTGGGGTTCATGGAGGGTAGGTACCTAGGGAGCCTGAGTAGTGGGGAGTATTCGGGAACCTTGAAGCCCCCCTCCCCCGTAAGAAGCCTATAACCAAAGTGGCCATGATCATGTCCTCCATCCCCAAACTACGAGTAAAAGGTCATTATATCGGCTATGAGTCTGGGAAGCATCTTTGGGGGTCCATTGTAGCAACCCTCAACCGTCTTGGCACGGGCCCTTAAGGCCTTCTTTGTGGAAGCGGTTGCCTTCCTCCTGCGAGGCTGCGCGGGCAACTTTGCGGCACGCCAACTCGAATCCCTGAACATCTGCAAGCCCGTTTTTGCCATCTAAACCCCATAAGCCACGTGAGCCCAGCAAGCACGTTGATCTCACAAGCAGCTAAGCCCCTAAACCCCAAATCCTAAGCGCCAAGCCCTAGACCCGAAAAACCCTAAACTGCAACAACCCAAACTCTACACCCTAAACACTAAACATCCGTAATCCCCAACAATCCGGAACCCTAGACCCTGCACCCTAAACCCTGCAACGCCCTAGAAAAAACCCTCGAAGGCTCTACTTGGAGGTTCAGGGTACATTGTAACCCAATTATGACTGTACTTCGAACCCAACAAAAACCTATTGACTGAGGGGGCTTATAAGTGGGTTATAACTGCACATATAATTGCGTGGTAAGTACGTACCCTGAACCCTAAACACCGAACCCTAAACCCTAAACCCTAAACCTTAAACTCTTAAGTACCCTGAACCTCCAAGTAAGGGCCTTCCGAAGCCGCCCTGTCCCGCCCTAAAATGCCAGAGAAAGCGGAGGCTCCTTATAGGCCTCGGCTTGCTTCAGCTGCTCTTCCACCATGGCGGCTCCGTTGTTGCGGTGTAGGGTTTAGGTTTAGGGTTTAGGGTTTAGGGTTTAGGGTTTAGGGTTTAGGGTTTAGGGTTTAGGGTTTAGGGTTTAGGGTTTAGGGTTTAGGGTTCAGGGTTGAGGGTTTTAGGGTTTCAGGGCTTTAGGGCTTTAGGGATTCGGGTTTAGGGCTCCTGGCAGTTTAGGGTTTCGGGTTTAGGGTTCAGGGTTTAGGGCTTAGGGCTTGGGGTTTAGGATTGAGGGGTAGCGGCCCCCTAGTTATACGTGGTGCGCAAAGGGACCCTAAATTGGGTCAAAAGGATCCTAACTTAGGTTACAAGTCCCAATATCCTTAGCATAGAAAGGGGGCTGCATTGAAACCTTCTTCATGCCGCAAAATTTCACTTTTGTACGTGAATCTTTAGTTTGTAGAGTGTAAACAGCCATATCAATACTAGTACACACACGTAAACAACAAATGAATAAGTGTGTATGTACATGTATGTAATGTACACATATTCACATGCATATAAAATTGTATGTGTGCAATCTTGAAGTATGTACGTATGGAAGCCTTTTTGTGCATACGGCTCGGGACATGCACGCTCCGCACGTGCAGCGCACGTGCTTGAAGCCAAATGCTCTGGGACATATGCTTGCACTTGCAACACCGCTGGTGCTGAAGAACGCCCTTGTTATCTTCATCTTGTCTACAAACACTTGCTTGCTGGCGACGCTCACCCTGTTGAACAACTTTCACTAAGACCACTGAGTCTACAAACTCTCGCAGAAATCCTTCTGCTTCAAGGAATTTTGTGGTTCTGTTTACACAAAAGCACCGGAATAGTGGTTCCCCCCCCCCCCCCCCCCCCCCCCCCCCCCCAAGCTGTGAATGAGCCCTCGACCTTCTAGGGGTTGTACCTTGAACCCTTGAGGTTGTACCTGGGTGGGTTTTGGGACCCTTTTTTAATCACCCTGAAGGTTGTACAAGGGCCACACTAGGAGTATATTCAGGGGAACCTTTAGGGTACAACCATGGGGCTACGAGTCTTAATTAGTCCCTTGAGTCCGGTGCCACACTGGCACTGGAGCTCTAAATAAAGAAGAAGGCCGGCCCCCGCCCGCAGTCCTAAACCCTTAACTCCTCAGATGGGGGAGGGGGGTATGGTTGGTCGGCTAGATAAAATGCCCACCCTGCACCCTAAACCCTGCACTCTAAAATCCTTGATCCTAAACCCTAAAGCCCTAAAGCCCTAAAGCCTAAACCCTAAACCCTAAACCCTAAACCCTAAACCCTAAACCCTAAACCCTAACTTCGAGCCGCCCTCCGACTCTTGGGCCCCGCGCTCCACGAGACAGAGCTGCCTGCCACGGTGATGGCCACACCTCGGCCCGAAGGCTTAAGGGCTCTAAAGGGTTTAAGGTTTAGGGTTGCGGGGTTTAGGGTTTAGGGTTTAGGGCTTAGGGTTTAGGGTTTAGGGTTTGGGGTTTAGGGCTTAGGGTTTAGGGTTTAGGGCTCAAGGTGGGTGAAAATTGGCTAAGGAAGCATTTCAGTAGCTCCTTGTTGGTTGAAGGGTTTTTGGCACCAAAAAAGTGGTGTTGAAAAGGGGGCTTCTCATCAGGCTTGCCAAACTTTTAGCAAGTTCAAGGGTTTCAATGTTGGGCTTCGCAGTCTTGAACAAATGGGTGTTGAGGGGTCGGGAGCTCGGGGTTTCGGCGTTGATTTAGGAGCCAAACGTCAAAACCTCAACGGCCTGAACATTGGAAGGCCTCAGATTCCGGCCTTTGAAAGCCCCAAAGGCCGTAACCCTAAACCCTAAACCCTAAACCCTAAACCCTAAACCCTAAACCCTAAACCCTAAACCCCCTCCAAGCCCAGAACTCTTTACCCTTACAACCCTTCAACCCTTAACACCCCGAAGCCGCACCCCTAAGAGCCCTTGAAGCCCTTGTACCCGAATCACCGTTGAAGCCCTTGGCTGTTCAAGCTCCTACTTGGAGGTTCATGGTACTTATTGACCATGTGCCATGGACCTCCAAGTGGACCCGAACTAAAACGTTTTTGACACCCCAAAACTCTACGCGCCCCGTTTGAAACCCTTAAACCCCTTTCAACACCGTTAACAAGATTTAACAAGCTCTTTTGACGAAGTCAGTCGACTTAGAACCTCCCTAGAATTCCTATCGTCATCCACATGGCCCACCTTACGAACCCTGCTTACTAAGTCAAAAGGCTTCCAAGGAAGCCCTTCAAACCCTAAACCCCAAGCCCCAAGCCCCAAGCCCTAAACCCTAAACCCCAAGCCCTAAACCCTAAACCCTAAACCCTAAGCCCTAAACCCTAAACCCCAAGCCCTAAACCCTAAACCCTAAACCCTACTCTGAAACCCTACAAATCCTAAAAGCCCTCATGACCGTCGGATCGGAGAACCTGAGGTGCAGGCTCTGCTCCGGAGCACAGCCGGGACTGCAGGTCCTTGGCTTCTTGGAAGGTAGGGTTTAGGGTTTAGGATTTAGGATTTAGGGTTTAGGGTTTTTTAGGGTTTAGGGTTTAGGGCTTAGGGTTTAGGGTCTAGGGTCTAGGGTCTAGGGTCTAGGGTTAAGGGGTTAGGGTTCAGGGCTTAACTAGGGGGCTTTTGGAAACTTAGTTCAGGACTTGGGCGTATGGGGTTTATGAATGTTCAACCTGAATAGGAGGGGCGGGGGGGGGGGCTACAGGGCGTGGGGTTCCTGGGGAACTTGTTGCGAAAGGTGCCAGGGTTGGCAAGAAGATTCTGACCTCAAACCCTATAACCCCTGGTTACGAAGGGGCCAGGGGGTTCAGACGACGCTAATCCTTGAGGGCCTTGGGGGAGCATCTTTGAAACCCATGAACCCTAATCCCTGCAAACTCTAAACTTCCTAAACCCGAACCCTAAACCAGCCGAAGTGCCATTTCCCACAGCAATCTCCCATACCAAAAACGGAACTGGTAGTTGATCGAATTACCCGTTCCCAAAGAACCCCAACAAATTTCCCTCGTAAGCCCAAGGAACCCTAAGAAACTTTCCCAAGCAGGGTCCCCAAACTCTGAGCGGGAACCAAAGCTTCGAAGACCTTGAAGCCTAAACCCTAAACCCTAAACCCTAAACCCTAAACCCTAAACCCTAGCCCTAAAAAACCAAACCCCAAACCATCAACCCTAAACCCTAAACCGCTAGCTCTGAGAGTGGGTAAGCCCCGGGCGACACGTCGTAGGAGAGGGTTCCCATAGAGCAGCGCAGCTCAAAGTTGCCCGTGTAAGAGGAGTTCACGGTGCTGCATGCCTTTTGAGACCCCGAAGTTTAGGGTTTAGGGTTTAGGGTTTAGGGTTTCGGGTTTAGGGTTTCGGGTTTAGGGTTTCGGGTTCAGGGATTATGGTTTAGGGTCTAGGGTTTGTTTGTAGGGCCTACGTGGAAGCCCTTTGGTCTTACCAAGTAGGGTTAGTACGGCGGGTTTCGGGGACTTTAATGGGTATTTCAGGGGATGCCAAGTAGACTTGCTAAGCCAAAGAGCTTCGAAGGATAGACCCACCCTGCAACAGCTGTAAACCCCACGAAGAATATGAACCCTATGAACACTGAACTGAGACGACCTTGGCCGGGGAGAGACTGGGGGTTCCCCCCCAAATCAGGGAGGGTTTATGGCTTAGGTTAGGGCTTAGGGTTCCTTTCTTGGGGCATCCTATCATGAGGATTACTACGAGTACTTAGGGCCTTGATGGTACCCCGATTATGGGAAATACCCCTCTATGCACACAGCAGCGAAGGCCGCTTGAATTCAAAACGCGTGCTAAACCCTAAACCCTAAGCCCTAAGCCCTAAGCCCTAAGCCCTAAGCCCTAAGCCCTAAGCCCTAAGCCCTAAGCCCTAAGCCCTAAACCCTAAACCAACCCTAAACCCTGCCCCCAAGCCCGTGGCTACAGAGGAGACGATGCCAGAGGCCATGTTCGCAGGTGGGCTCACAGATGCTGTTGCTGTTCCCACCTGCGTGACAATAAGGGACGGGGGGAGGTTCATGGGGGTAAGGTACCTCTAGGGAACCTTAGGGAGGCTTTAGGGACTGTAGGGCGCCTTAGGGAGGAGTGGAGAGCATTCGGGAAGCTTGGGTGTATGTAACCCCCAAGCTTCCCGACCCCCCCCCCCTCCCTTATAGCTTCGGGTCTAGGGTAAACCCTAAACCCTAGACCCTATTGAGGGCTGAGGGATGAAGTTATTGGGGGAACGGTAAAGGCACGGCGGAGAAGCTCACATGATCCCTCTCGCATGTACCGAAAGAGACGATTCTCTGAAGAAGGTATGCCCTGTGTGTCGAGAAGCGACTTCAAAACAAGTTAGAGGCGCATTGGAAGTTGATTTGAACATGCTTGCACGGAATTCTTCGCTCACTCTATTATGTTATGAGACCCTCCCCGCCCGCACCTCACTCATCTCCGCAGCCCCCAAAACAAAATCCTTCTCTTGAGGACCAAAAGAAGAGTTTATGGGTTCACATACCTTAGCAGGGATTATAGTCGCACAGGGTAGAGGACCCCCAATTTTAGGGTTCACGTGGTCCCCAGGGTCGACGCTTTCGAAACATCTTGAAGCCCAAGAATGCACTCTCCCTACCCCTTAAACCTAAACCCTAAACCCTAAACCCTAAACCCCCCGCCGTCACATCCACGGGATCCGCGCACCCAACCGGCCTTGGCTGTTATGCACTCACTGCTCGGTTGCCCAGTGCCCTTTTTTGCGTAAAGGGGGCTTACAAGGGGAGGGAATAAGGGTACTACTGGGCATCTAGAATGTGTCTTGAGCCAGTTCCGATAATTTGTCGGGAGGTTCATCAGGAGGGTTTGGTTCACAGCTTGGGTTCTAGGCGTCAGCGTTTGCTTTCGTAATCGCTCGGCACGAGTCTGCTGGCCTTTGCAAAGATTCTTTGGACCCCTGTCCTCATGATCAGGCACTTTCGTTGTGGCTTGCATACTCATGCCCGTCGAACACCACCACACTGTC